GGCGCAATCTTGCGGGAGTTTGGTTGCCGGAGGGGAGTGTTCGGGGCTTCTGTTTAGGTTTTATAGTGCTATGGATTTAAAGTGTTCAATATATTGGATTTCAGGATTTCTGATGTAGGGTTTAGTCTCATCTTTCTGGACGGACTTTCCCGAACAGTTTGATGATCAGGGATTCGGCCATTTAGTCCCTAAACCTAAGCCTTAAACCCCAACCTTGAAGATAGGTTCTCCAGTTTTTGGGCCGCAGGAGACTGGACAACCTTGACAACCTGACAACCTGTCAGCCTCCACAACCTGAACCCTACATCACAAACCCTAAGCCGCAAGCGTTACTCACCAGGTTGACGCCTATTGATTTTCGGGTTTGAGAACTTAGGGGGCCGAGGGCTCTTCTTGGTTTGGTGTGTGTGTGTATGTGTGGGTTTGATGGCTTTGGGGGTGCACTCTGGGGCCAAGGGTTGTAGGGTTATAAGATTTAGGGCTTAGGGTTGCAGGGTTGGGTTTGCATAGTTTATGGGGCTTAGAGCTAGGAGTTTGGTCGCAGCATCTGGGCGAAGGACCTCTCGCCAAACATGCCGGCTTGGAAAGAAGCAGGGCAAAGGCCCTGAGCCCTAAACCCCAAGCCCCTCCCTGAAACCCTAAACCCTAAACCCCAAAAGCCTAAAACCCCTAAGGGTAGTGACATGGGCCCTGCATGCATTTTGGGCATATGAGGGGTACGTACTCGTAACTGCTACTCCTTTACGGGCCCATACTAAGGGACCATGTGTAACTACCCTTAGAACATCCGAAAACATCTCGGCAGTTTGGTTCCCCAGGCTCCGCAGCGGTGTCAGCGCTCGCGTCTTTGGTCACCGAGAAGATTCTGAAAGGCCAGCCTCGGAAACCTCAAACCGTAAACCCTGCACCCTACACCCTAAATCCTACACCCTAAGCCCTAAAAAACCCCTGAACGGCCCCAAACCCTAAAACTCTACACGGCAAAGTATTCAGGAGAACACCAAAAACAACGTATGGCTAGGGTCAGCGGTTTTTAAGGAGTCCGAAGGCCTTTAGGGTTTTAGGGTTCATGCTTTTGGGTTTCGGGTTGAGTTCGGGTCTAGGGCTTCAAGGGCTTACTGTAGTCGGCATTCCTGTCCTTTTGTAGGAGGTTAGTTAGGTTCACTTACAAAACCCAACTAACTAAACAACAGGCACAGGCACCTCTTTTACATTCTTAGGTTGTGGGGAAACGAGGTATATACTTGGTGGCAGCTAAGGTGCTTAAACTAGGATAAATACAGAACAGGGTTAAGTTTGTAGAAGTTCTTTGACACTCGCCATACGTAGAGGTCCCTTTAGCTACGCCCCAATGCCTCCGCGACCCAAGCCTGAGCCCCAGCCCCTATACCCTAAATTCGCATGGAGGTTAGGAGGGGGGGAGGGTCTCACAGGGGCTCAAGAACCAATACCCCTACGCTGTCCCTATAATGCTTCCTTAAGGTTGCCTCCGGACCTCCCCCTAAGCCCCTAAGCCCTACACCCCAAACTCTTGAGGGTGGAGGGTTCCGGTACAAGTCCCACACCCTTACACGGCGGAGCTCAAAAAAAGGAAGACCGAAGACTCTAAGCCCTGAAGCGTTTTAGGGTTCAGGGTTTCGGGTGTGCAGGTGACCGAGACCCCTTCCACATGCAGAAGGCAGGTGCTTTGATTGAGGGCTTGCAGGGCTTCAGGGTGTGGGCTTCAAGGGTTTAGGGTTTAGGGTTTAGGGTTTAGGGTTTCGGGCCAGGAGTCCGGAAGCTTTGGGTTATCTGTGACAGGTTGTAGGGTTTAGGGTGCCAGGTAGGCCCTTGGGACATATTGTCGCTATTGGGCTTCAAAGGACATGGTAGCCCTGTGGTACCCTTGTGCCACTTTCTTTGGTTCAAGGTCCCCTTGTAAAGTAGCCAACCCCAAAAAAGGGTTCCCCTATTAAAAATATGGCTACTGGGCTACCCAGAGGACCTTGTTGTTGAATATCCTCAGAGGGCTTTTTGGAAAGGTCGACTCCGGGTAGTGGGTGTTAAAGTTCTTGGGTTTAGAGTTTTAGGCGGCTAAGGGTTCTGTGTTCAGGGTGTGTAGGGTTTTGGGGTTTAGGGTTTAGTGTTTAGTGTGCACTCGCAGGGTTTGAGCTTTTAGGGTTTAGGGTTTTGCCCGGCGGCTTTCGGTTACAGGTTACAGGTGATGGGGGGGGGGGGGGGGGTGGTTGGGATTGCGGGTTCAGGGTTTAGGGCCGGTTTACAGGTTGCGCGTGAGAAAGTAGTGGTCAGCACTTCTCTTGTAATTTGTTTGCCCTCCGCAGAGGTCAACTACTCTCCTCCTCCTCCTCCTCCTCCTCCTCTTGCCCTGTCTTTCCAGACGAAAAACGACGCCGTTGCTTTTGGTTCTCAACATCAATTTCTCCGGGGGGGTGGGGTACCTTTTGGGAGCTCTCCTAAACTCTAAACCGCGAGAAACTCACACAGAAACAGAACTTAAGGGCTGGTGCCTTTGGGTCTTAGAGGGAGATCCAGAAGACGTTCGAGGCTTGGTGCACGTGGGTTGCAGGGTTTTTGTGCCCTTTCCAAAAGATGGAATCTTACTGCTGGAAAGCTTCATGGGTGGTTGCGAAGGTGTACCTGGAGCTCCATTTACCTGAAATTTGGGGCGAATGCCCGGTATTTACACGCCTGGGCTCTAAAGAATTGATTCTTCGATTCTTCGGTCGTGTTAACCAGCTGGAGATTCCGCATAAATCTGTGGCTTCGACGTGAGTTTAACGCCTCAAGCCCCCACCCCCGCTTCGTTCTTATGTGGGTGTGCCCTCTGGGATCCTATGAAGTCAAGCCCGCGACCTTACATAAGCCTAGACCCCTACACCCCAACTGGGTAGTTCTCTAAATTAGGGTCCCCTTCGGGTGTGTGCACTACCCTAAGCCCAGGTACGGCTGGACTTTGGCAGCGTTGTGTCGAGCATCTTGCATGCAGCAAGTGGCCCAAGAGCCCAAAACTGTTTGGGATTTGGGGCTTTCGAAGGTTTTTCTTGGGGGGGGGGGGGGGGGGGGGGCCTCAGAACTTGGGCTTTCGAAGTTTTGGGGGGGCTACTTTAAGGGCCTATAGGGCTTAGGGCTTAGGATCCCTTTGCGCAGTCTTAAGGTTCCCTGGGTGCCCTTTTTCAAAACCAAAACAGCGGACCCTTGAATCTCCGGGACCTAGCTCAGAGTTCGGGGTGGTTTGGTCTGGACTCGGGAGGGGGTTGGGGGTTTAGGGTCTACTGGGCTTCAAGTGTCTAGGTTGTAAGGGTTTTAGGCTTTTAGGGTTTGGGGTTTAGGGTTTATGCCTTATACATACGGCCATGTTGCCGATGCCTTTGGACTCACTGGGGTGGCCGAGGTCTGTGCAAGGCAAGAGTCCTTTTCCCGACTATAGACCATAGACTATACACGCTATTTATACGACATTCACCAGACTATGTGCTATATACTGTACGGTACCTTGTTTTTACTTCATACTATGTACTACATACCCTAAACTATGTGCTACATACTGGATAATCTGTATACTGTATACGATGCTATATACGATTTTCGGTATACGTTTGTCTACAAATTCATACTACATGCTGGATAATACATACTATTTTAACATACTGTAAAATACGTACTATATGCAAAATGCCGCATGCCATATTCTATATGCCATCTGCCAGATTGTGCATTCTATATACCAGACTTGATTTTAAACACTTTGTGTTGTATACTCTATGTCTCTATGTGCTGTACTATATCCGATCGGCTATATACCATGTACTACATACACTGTCGCACGATGTACGCTACGTAGGCTGTCTATTCTAGACCCTTTACTTACTACATACTATTTCTTACATGGTCACTTTGCGCGGCCCCTAGTTCCCTTGCTGATTGGTATCTGTTCCCATACAAAATCCTATGGAACAAGAACGCGCTTAAACCCGAAGCCCTAAGCCCTAGACTCTTTTTTTTGTGGGGGGGGTGTGTTTTTCTGAACAACTTAGATATATGGCAGGCCATGCGGGTCCACTGGACGATTATCGGGTGACCAAACCTCTAGCCCTTCGGAAATCTGAGCCTTGGAACCCTCCCTAGAACCGCTTTTTGCCGCTTGATTCATCTCTTGACCACATTGCGGCTCAATCGTTGCATGGCAGCAGCTTGAATGTCAACATCCGACAAGCGCTGGCACCCACCAGCAGCCAGGCCGGGTTTCAGGGATATAGTCCAGAGTCTTCGGAAGCTGTGCAGGTCGCCCGAAAGGCGCCTAAGCCCCAAGTGGTATATGGGCTTTCTGAATTAGGGTCCCTTTTCGGGATCCCTTTTTTAAAATTTTCCGCCTTATAATGGGCACCCCAAAAGGGACCCTAAGTTAGGAAACTACCCATATCCTTCGGCCCCCAAAAAGCTGTGTAAATGAAGCACTAGGGCTCCCAATCATACTCCCAGCTTAGGCATGTGGGCCCTCAGGGAACCTAGCTAGACCCTCAGAACACCCTACATCCTGACTCCAGTAGGAAGATACCCAAAACTGGGGAGCACGATCGAGAGTTCTTATATGGGCTTGTTGTAGTGTTATCAATGCTTACCTCCAGAGCATTCATTGCTGTGTAGAAACCATCCAGAAAGCCCTAAACCCGAAGCCTAAACCCTAAACCCTGAACCCTCAAAACAACAGAACGAAGATCCACCGTTGGCCGGTCGGGGCCCTTCTAGATGCTCGCAGAACGCTAGAGATAGGTCTTAGACAAGACGACAACATCCCAAAGCCCGGAACCTTTAAAGTTGAGGGTTCTCGGGTGTCGGGGTTTTAGGGTTTTAGGGTTTAGGGTTGTTAAACCCTAAACCCTAAACCCTAAACCCCAAACCCCAAACCCCAAACCCCAAACCCTCAACCCTAAACCCTAAACCCTAAACCTTAAACCCTAAACCCTAAACCCTAAACCCTAAACCTAAACCCAAGTTCAGGCATGAGCGCGGATGAGGAGCGTCGTGGGCTGCTCTCGTCGGGCGAACCCTCCCAGAGCGCTCCGCTGTTGGGAGGCCTTCGGGGGAGGGTTTAGGGTTTAGGGTTTAGGGTTTAGGGTTTAGGGTTTAGGGTTTAGGGTTTAGGGTTTAGGGTTTAGGGTTTAGGGTTTAGGGTTTAGGGTTTAGGGTTTAGGGTTTAGGGTTTAGGGTTTAGTTGCATGGTCCTACCCTAAGATAAACACCCAAACCCTAGACCATTGCAAGGTTTAAAGGTTTGACCAGGTCATTTGGAGGCCAAATGGGTCCCTCAACAGGTGGCTCTCCATGTGTGCATGGGGTTTAATCGGGCTTTTGGGGTGCAGCGTTGTGCCTTATCTTTGGGGTTCAGGGTGTTGAGGGTCTTGGTTCCCTAAGTCTCCACGTGCCTCAGTACCTTGGGTTCTATGGCGCATATACCTGAAGAGGAATTCTAGTATTATAGGGTATATGACCCCATTTTGGGGTTCATTTCGTCCTTAACGTAGGGAATACTTAAAGCCTTTTCTTATTACTTCGTGTAGATAGACGTCGGGCCGGAGTATATACCACTTGGGCGTATGGACCCTGAAGGAATTGATAGGGTTTAGGGCTTAGGGATAGCTATGGCTTAGGGTTTGGGAGATATCATACGAAAAGAATTGGTTCCCACAGCGTCCTCTTCTGTAGGGTTTAGGGTTTAGAGGGTTTAGAGGGTTTGGAGGGTTTGGAGTTTCTTTTTCGCGCCACGTCTTAGCAAAACAGCCAGCCTGCGAGGTCCTTTGGTCTCGTGGAACCAGTTTTGGACCTGCGTGGTGCCGATACTCGTCGCAGCCCTGGCACTGCCCAGCGTCTTCGGGCTTTGGTACGTCTCCGCAGGCCTCGTGGCCCTCTTCCTCCTCTACCTTGTAGCTCAAACCCTAAACCCCCAACCCTAAACCCCAAGCCCTAAACCCCAAGCCCTAAACCCCAAACCCTAACCCTAAACCGCCCTAAACCAGGCATCGGGGCCCTCCTCCTCCTCTACCTCGCAGTGATCGTGGTTATCCTCTTCTGCTTCAGGTGCCCAGGGTTCTGGGTTTAGGGTTTGGGGTTTAGGGTTTAGGGTTTAGGGGCCCAGCCTTTGATTCGGACCGCGACCTTAGCAAGGTCCTTTCAAGGCTGGCTGCATAAAGCGCGGCCCTAAACCCCAAACCCCAAACCCCAAACCCTAAACCCTACTAAACCCCAAACCCGAAACCCCAAACCCCAAACCCCAAACCCTAAACCCTAAACCGACTCAGGAATTCCTTCCAGCTTTGGGCACTCCAGCGACCATGGAACTGCCTGGTTCGCCTCCTGCTGCCACCCGTGGAGATCATTGACAGCCTTGGGAGCCTTGGAGTGGGTTTAGGGTTTAGGGTTTAGGGTTTAGGGTTTAGGGTTTAGGGTTTAGGGTTTAGGGTTTAGGGTTTAGGGTTTAGGGTTTAGGGTTTAGGGCTTGGCGGGGTTATCGTGGGGACCCATACACCCTACACAGCCCTAGAGCACCCATCAGAACAACCTTGACTTGCTTCTGGTTTTTGTTGCTCTGTTTTGGGCCATGATCCCTAAACCCTAAACCCTAAATCCTAAACCTTAAACCCTAAACCCTAAACCCTAAACCCCGATCTTTCATCTTGGGCGCCGCCCAAAGAAGCAGGGCTTGTGATGTTGACAGTTTATGAACCTCAGGTGCCCGACCGTGCGAGGGTAAGTGGTCAGAACCCTAAACCCTAAACCCTAAACCCTAAACCCTAAACCCTAAACCCTAAACCTCCACTACCCACCCCAGGAGCGGCAACACCGACTACTGCATGTGGAAATACAGGAGTTGGGGCGAGAACCTTGGGGTGGATCAGTCGTGCCCTTTTGCCTCTCTTTTTTGAGTTCAAACCCTAAACCCTAAACCCTAAACCCTAAGCCCTAAGCCCTAAGCCCTAAACCCTAAACCGCATCCTTGTCATAAGTTGGCTGCTGGGCTGCCAAGGAACCTCTGTGCCTCCGCGCAGGTGTGGATAGGCAGCCACAAAGAGATCTCAAAGGCCTTGCAGCTGGGTGGGGTCCTTGGGAGATGCTGTTGTTTTTTTTGTTTTGCCCTTCTTGGGTTTAGGGTTTCGGGTTTAGGGTTTAGGTTTAAGGGTTAAACGGTTTAGGGTTTGGGGTTTAGGGTTTAGGGCTGTCTGTTACAACGTGTTGTTTTCTTCAGTGGGTTCCGGAGCCCAACCTAGGACGAATCCCCAGGCGCGGAACAACTGGTTGGGCGAGCACCCTCTCTACCGGGGATCACTGCCGGAGGGGCCCTCCGGTCGCTGTGTCTTGGTAAGGGTTTAGGGCTTAGGGTTTAGGGTTTAGGGTTTAGGGTTTAGGGTTTATTTCGGCTTCGGGGTTAGATGTTTTGGGTTTAGGGTTTAGGGTTTAGGCTGTGCATTGGTAGCCCAGGGGTACCCTTTTTCCCTGTTTTGGTTCAAGGTTCCCTTCGAAAGTCCCTAAACCCTAAGACCCTAAATCCTAAAACCCTAAACCTAAAGGCCCAAACCCTAAGCCCTAAAACTAAAGGCCCAAACCCTAAGCCCTAAAACCCCAAACCCTGAACCCAAATTATAACCATATCAGGGCACTCAAGGGGCTTTGTCAGTGGGTTAGAGGTACAGGTATACTTGGTTAATCAGTACCCTAAACACTAAACCCTAAACCCTAAACTACCCAGTTATGCTTGGTTCATAGGTACCCTGAACCTCCAAGCAAGGTGTCCCTAAACCCTAAACCCTAAACCCTAAACCCTAGGGGACTACCCAGGCATAATTGGATAAAAGGTACCCTGAACCTCCAAGCCAGGTGTCTTCCTGCTGAGCCTCTCAAACAAGGCTGCCGGCGGTACTGGCGACCACGAGGCCTTCCGCAAGTGCGGCTCGGTGGGGTTTAGGGTTTAGGGTTTCGGGTGTGTTACGTTCTGGGTTGCTCGCTAAGCTCCGGGGCCTCACCTTATTTTTTATAACCGGCCCCTCTGCCCGGGTCGCTCGCAACATCGCGTGGCGGTAAGCCCACCCCAAGCCACCCGGCATATCTATTTTAGGGTTTAGTTCCTAAAGTCTTGTTTTTGCTTTTTCCAGCGGGGGCATGCTGTGTCCGTGCGCACGCTGTTTCTGCACCGTCCCGATCTGAGCCTCGCGGGGGCAAGGCTGCAAAGAGGTGAAGTTGTGGAAAACGCTGCCCCTAGGCTGTGAAAGGTGAAAGGTCGGGGGGATAGCCCTTCATCATCAAAGTCGGGACGGGCTTGTTTGAAGGCGTTTGGCATCCCTCATCTGCCTTCACGGAAGGCGTCTGTCAAGTATCTCACAGATTGGTTTGGGTTACCGTAGGGGTACCGTTGCCCCCGGGCCAGCGTCCCGACGTGCTTCTTTGAGGGCGTTTGGCATCCCTTGTCTGCGACCCTCGTTTGCCAGCACAAAGCAGTTTGGGTTACCGAAGGGGTAGCGCTGCCCCTCGACCGGGCCAGCGTCCCGATACGACTCTCCCTGGACCAAGACTAGGCTGTGAGAAGGTCGTGGGGGTGGCCCATTGGTTTGGGTTACCGCAGGGGTACCGTTGCCCTTCGACTTCTTTGAAGGCGTTTGGCATCCTTTGCCAGCACGGAAACCATCGACACAAAGCAGTTGGGGTTAGCGCTGCCCCTCGATCGGGCCAGCGTCCCGACACGACGCTCCCTTGACCAAGACTAGGCTCGACTCTCGCCTCCCATTCCTCCCGTGCCTCTGGAGGTTACCGCAAGCCTTTGTGAGGGCCTGCTAGGGCTTCCGGGAACCTCCCAGAACCAGCGATTTCAGTACTAAAGATTCGCATTTTCATTGTGGGTCCAGGCCAATCCTGGGGTCCCCCTCATTGGGGGGCTTGGAGAAGCTTTGTTGTGAACACAAAAAAAGAAATGGAGAGCCCAAAAAGTTCAAAAATCTGGCCTGGGAGAAGCAAAGGCTCAGAAAATAGCCTGGGAGAAGCTCAAAGAAAAAACTCAGAAATGGTCCGGGAGGAGCCAAAAAAACCCAGAAATGGTTCGGAAGGAGCCCAGAAAAGGCTCAGGAATGGTCTCAGGAGGAGCCCAAAAAGGCTCAAAAATGGTCTGGGGAGCCTACAAGGCTCGAAAGGCTCGGGGAGAAGCAAGCCAAGAAATGGTTTGAAAAAGGCTCAGAGGGCGGTCTGAGCCCGGCAACGGTCCTTGAGGGGGGCCCGGGTTGCACCAGCAAGTCCTTGGTGGGGGCCCAGGTTGCACGAGCAACGGTCCTTGGGGGGGGGGCAGGTTGCACCAGCAACGGTCCTTGGGGGGGGGCCAGGTTGCACCAGCAAAAGGTCTTGGGTTTAGGGTCTTTACCTTTGACACTCAAAGGCTCGACCGCCTTGAGTGTGGGCCTTACCTTGCCTTGGAGCGTCCAGCAGCCCCTCCCAGGTCGCTCGCGAAGCTCGGACGGCTTCGGGCTCTCAAGTGTTGGTAGCGAGCCCTCAGCAAAGACTTTAGGGTTTCGGGTGGTTTAGGGTGGTTTAGGGTGGTTTAGGGTTCGGGGTTATATGTGGCTGCATCGTTCTTTGTTAAGCCCCGAAGAGCCCATAGAAAGGTTAAACCCTAAACCCTAAACCCTAAACCCTAAACCCTAAACCCTAAACCTTAAAGGCATGATCGACACCTTGTTTAACGATGCCGCGGTGGCCCGGGAGACGGACGAGATCTCAAAGCAGCTCATCAGCCAGGCGGCCGAGAACTACGTGAAAGAGAGCGAGTTCGAGTTCTACCATGGAGCCTTATTCGGGTTTAGGGTTTCGGGTTTAATTAGGGTTTAGGGTTATTAGCCAATAGCTTAACTTTTTTGGGGGGCGGCTTCCTTATTTAGTAGAAAGAACTGCAGCTTAGCCTGTTTCGCTTCTTGGCTTTGGGAGAAGTAAGGAACAGAGGGCACCAACACCGTTTTCTGGACGAAGTACCTGCACCACGTCCTCTTCGGCTTGAACATCAAGGAAGCCACTGCGCGAAAGCCGAAACCGCGAAGCGCAGAAAACTCGAAGCCCTAAACCCTTAAGCCTTAACCCTTAACCCTTGTATAACCCTAAACCCGAAACCCTAAGCGAAGTCCCTGAGCATGCCCAAGGATAGATGTGGTGGTTTCCAGAAATAGGGGTACCCTTTAAGTGGGTTCTATTTGGGGCATAAACAGGGTACCTCTATGTTAGGTCATAGCCATATGTCCTACAATGCTGTACCCGACTGCTGGGAAACTGCAGGACGGGGAGCTGCTAAAGACGCTCGACGCCTTCTACGACGGGGCATCCGCCTTGATGAGCCCAGTTTGAAAGTGGGAAGTTCTTCAGCAGTGGTGCAGTGCAACCCAACACACTAGGAACACCCTAAGCCCTAAACCTTGAGCAATATTGAGTCAAGACTTCCTTAAAACTCGGACCCCTTCCTGCGCCAGCATTCACCACCCCCTCCACTCCCCCCCCCCCCCCCCCCCCCCCCCCCCCCCCCGTGCTTCACGGTCTGGGAGGGTTAGGGTTGGTTTTCACTTTGCCCCGTGGTTCAATCGAGGTATCTAGGTTTTAGGTTTAGGGTTTGTAGGTTCAAGATTCGTGCGTTGTGGTTCGTGGCGGGTTTAGGGTTAGTGTCAGTTTGGGGGGTGGTCTCGAGAACCCAGAACGCTAAAAATTTGGGGTTCGGGGGTATTTGAGAGATTTCTGAGGGCTTTTACGGCCTTGCAGGGTGTGTAGGGGTTTTAGGGGTTTAGGCCCTAAACCCTAAACCCTAAACCCTAAACCCGAATTAAGCCCTAAACCCTAAACCCGAATCACTGTTTTCTCAGGCACTACCTCGAACCTTTCGGCCGCCTTCCTTGCTTTTCCAACCACGCCGGCATCGGAAAGGTGGCTGACCTTTACGAAAAATCGCCGTCCTTCGCCAACTTTCAGGCTCTCCGGAACATGAAACAAAGGGATTTAGGGTTTAGGGTTTAGGGTGGTTCATGGGTACTTAGATCACTGTGCTTCTAAGCTCTCTAAGTAGGTCAGTGCAGTTATAAAAATTGGGGCCATGAACCTCCAAGTAGGGGTTTGGACTGGATATGGCGGGGTTCGGGGGCTCCAAAAATCGAAGCCGCCCAACTGTTAACTTTTCAGTCTGGGGGGGGGGGAACATATCTTCTTTTCGGCAAACGCGGCGTTGACCTGGATTCTGGGCCTCTCGGGACTGTACTGTAGTGTTTTGCCAGGGTTTAGGGTTTAGGGTTTAGGGTTTAGGGTTTAGACCAACCCCCCCCCCCCCTCATTCACCAGCCCTTCTCCCAAGCCACACGCATCGAGAGGTGAAGCCCGAGTACAACAACATGACGGCTCGCGAGCTTGCCTTGCTCATGACCTCGATCATACGCATCGCTGCTTAGAGATTTTCGGGATGTTTTCCATTTTTGGGTACTAGAACTCCCGAAGAAACAGCAAAGAGTATGATTTTTAGGGGTACTATAATTTTCTAAGACACAGCTAAAAGTATGATCATATTTGGGTACTCTCATTCCTAAGAAGCAGCCAAGAAGTATGACTTTTTGCTAGGGTTTAGGGTTTAGGGTTTAGGGTTTAGGGTTTAGGGTTTAGGGTTTAGGGTTTAGGGTTTAGGGTTTAGGGTTTAGGGGTTCCAAGATTAACAAAAAAAAAAAGAGGCTGGGGTGCAAGGGAGTCGCATGCTGCTGTGGCTTTGCACCTCTGGCTCCCTCCATGGGAACCTGCAGGCCTATGGGGATGAGGGTTCCGGGATTGGGGTTTAGGGTTTAGGGTTTAGGGTTTAGGGTTTGGGGATTCGGGATTCGGGATTGGGGATGGGGGATTGGGGTTGGAATGTCCCCCCTTACACGAACAGTCCTTGATAGGGACTGTAGTAGGCGGTACTATCATATCTACTCAGGACTGTTAGTATAAAGGGGGAACATCCCAAGATTGAGGTTCAAGTCAAGGTTTTGGGTTCGGAGACGCTGGACCTTGGACCCTCAACCCTACAGGGTTTAGGGTTTAGGGGGTTTAGGGGGTTTAGGGGTTTAGGGGTTTAGGGTTTAGGGTCTAGGGTTTAGGGTTTAGGGTTTAGGGTTTAGGGTTAGCCGCCTAAGCCCGAAGCCTTAACACCCAAACCCGCAACGCTCGAAAGCCCCCAACCCCCAAAACCCTAGAACCCGAAACCCTGAACCTCAAACCCTTAAACCTCCGGAACCCGTAGAACCCTAAACCCTAGACCCCAAAACCTAGAGCCCCAAACCCGTACACCCGTGAGCACCTGGAAACCTAAACCCCTAAACCCTAGAATCCCCAGATCCATAGAACCCTTTATATGGAACTCCCAAACCCCTGGGACCCCCAAACCCCTAAACCTCTAGAACCCCAGAGCCCCTGAGAACGTCCAGAACCCCTAAACCCTAAACCCTAAACCCTAAACCCTAAACCCTAAACCCTAAACCCTAAACCCTAAACCGTGGCAGGTAGATGCCCGGCCTATCTGGGACTCACTGAACTTGGATGATGATGACGAGGTCGAAAGGCCCCCGAGTTCTTGCATCACTGTTGGGTTCGAGGGTTAGGCTTTAGGTTTTAGGGTTTAGGGTTCAGGGTTTAGGGTTTAGGGTTTAGGGTTCAGGGTTTAGGGTTTAGGGTTTAGGGTTTAGGGTTTTGCAGTTTAGGGTTTCAGGTTTCAGGGTTTAGGGTTGTGGCTTGCTACTCAATAGGGACTTCGGGATTCAGGTACCCCATGCCCCCCACTCTAGTTTCCCCTTTCATTTAAAATGTAGACACAGGATGACACAGGAACCCTGCTCCCCCTACATCTTCCAAAGGCTCAGCGCAGCCCTGAACCCTAAACCCTAATCCCGAAACCCTAAACCCTAAACCCTGAACCCTAAACCCTGAACCCTGAACCCTAAACCCTAAACCCTAAACCCCACACCCTAAACCCCAAACCCTCAACCCCCAAAAGCCCTAAAAGGCCCTCAAGCCTTCCCAAAACCCTAAACCCTAAACCCTAAAAGCCCTCAAAAGCCCTCAAAAGCCTTCAGGTTCATTCTGGAAGTTTCGCGGCTCTCCCCGCCGGTGACGATCTCGAGCCGCATTTCCACCGAGCCGTTCTCTTGCGAGATCAACGGCAAGACCTACAGCTTCCCCCAAGGTACCTTGGGGAAGGTTAGGTTTAGGGTTTAGGGTTTAGGATTTAGGGTTTAGGGTTGAGGGTTGAGGGTTGAGGGTTGAGGGTTGAGGGTTTAGGGTTTAGGGTTTAGGGCTCAGCTTCCCCCAAGGTGCCTTGAATGAAAAGGGTTTGGGTTCTAGGGTTTAGGGTTTCAGGGCTTTGGCGCTTTAGGGTTTTTGGCTGTTTGGGTTTAGGGTTAAGATTGAGGGATTTAGGGTTTTAGGGTTTAGGATTTAGGCTTTTTGTGTCTCTCAACCGAAGGTTTACGGTTTACATAACCTTTTGTCTGTTTGATGTTTCTTTTGTGCGAGGTTCAATGTCGTTTTTTCCAGCTCGGTTTCGTTCAGGCTTTCGTCTGCTCAAAGGTACGTTGTTTGCTTGTTTCATTTGGGTCTGTCAGGTTTGAAAAGGGTTGCTGTATGGTTTCTTTCTGGTTTCATTGAACATAAAGTCGGTAACCCTAGACCCTAAACCCTAAACCCTAAACCCTAAACGCTGGGGTCCATGGAAGCCCTATAAACGTTGAGGGTCTAGGGCCCTAAGCCCCTGAATCCCTTTAGGGTCCTAAGCCCCAACCCTAAACCCTGGAAGCCCTAAACCCTAGGGTTTAGGGTTTAGGGGGTTTAGAGGGTTTAGAGGGTTTAGAGGGTTTAGAGGGTTTAGAGGGTTTAGAGGGTTTAGAGGGTTTAGAGGGTTTAGAGGGTTTAGAGGGTTTAGAGAGCTTAGAGGGTTTAGAGGGTTTAGAGGGTTTGGAGGGTTTAGAGGGTTTAGAGGGTTTAGAGGGTTTGGGGGGTTTAGAGGGTTTAGAGGGTTTAGAGGGTTTAGAGAGCTTAGAGGGTTTAGAGGGTTTGGAGGGTTTAGAGGGTTTAGAGGGTTTAGAGGGTTTAGAGGGTTTGGGGGGTTTAGGGTGTAGGGTTTAGGGCCCTAAGCCCCTGAATCCCTCTTGTGTCCTAAACACCGCAAAAACAGGCACTATGGTGGGCATTCCCCTAGTGTACGGCAACATCGATCCGACCGTGTGGGGCGATGACGCCTTCGACTTCAACCATCGTCGTCCGGGGCTGCGGGACTGGCGTGGGGCTGTTGGTGGGTTTGGGGTTTCGTGGTTTTAGGTTGTAGGGTTTAGGGTTTAGAGTTTAGGGTTTAGGGTTTAGGGCTCCACTGGGTCTTGAGTACCTTGAAGGGTTCAGGCTTTTCTTGCAACAGGGGGGGAGGCTATGCGGGTGGTTCTCACACCAAACACCCCGTTTAGGGTTTAGGGTTTAGGACTTAGGGTTTAGGGTTTAGGGCAAAAAGCACCCCAAACAGTGACACTGAGTGTGGAGAGAAACCCATCGCTCGGGGTCTGAGAGATTGTCTGGTTCAGAACCGACCCATCTGGTTTAGGGTTTAGGGTTTAGGGTATAGGGTTTAGGGTAGAGGGTATAAGGGTAGAAGGTTTAGGGTTTAGGGTTTAGGGTTTAGGGCTTCAGGGCAAGCCGAAGCCCGGAGCCCAAAGAAAGGAGAACCACGTGGGCTTCAACTCCGTGAATGGTGTGGGGCCCCGCGAATGTCCCGGTAAAGGCTTGGTGCTGAGAACCACCGTCCGCTTGCTGCAGGTGGGCCAGGGGGGTTACTTGCACAATGGTTAGGATTTTGGGTTTGGGGTTTAGGGTTTAGGGCTTGGGGTTTAGGGTTTAGGGTTTAGGGTTTAGGGTTTAGGGTGTATACTGCAGACCCGTAGATGCTAGAATGCTTAGGACAAGGACCTCTAGACTCTAGACACCTTTCCTGAACCAATGTTTGGGCTTGTCTACCCTAATTACACCGCAAACCCTAAACCCTAAACCCTAAACCCCAAACCCCAAACCCTGAGCAGGCGATGGGCAAGAAGAGGAGGCAGCAAAGCGCCACTGCGTAGGCGGGTGGCGGCCATCAAAGGAGTGGATTCGCCAAGAGAGCGTTTTAAGTGAATGGGTTTCCGAAACTTGGGGGTGCCCTTGTTTGAGTTGAGAATTTAGGGGTTTAGGGTTAGGGTTTAGGGTTTAGGGTTTAGGCTCTCGTAGTATCTTGGGCCATCAACAATAGGGTACCCCTGCCTTTTTTTGGGAGATGTCCAAATATACCGCTGTCTGAGATGTGGCATAAGCACCGCACGCTCGGCCCGGTTTTTACAGTACTGGGTTGGCCCTTAAAGGGGTGTTTTTTTCGATTTTCCCTGTTTAGGGTTTAGGGTTTAGGGTTTAGGGTCTAGGGTTTAGGGTTTAGGATTCAGGGCTGCAGGAACCTTTTTGTCACAGGGTCATTTATGGGCCAACCTAGCAGACACACAGCCAACGAAGCTCCCCTGAGCGCTGCTTCGGGTGGAGAGTAGACGGCCTTCCCCATCTAAACCCTAAAACCCTAAACCCTAAAACCCAGAAGCCTCAAACCCGAAAAGCACCTAAAACCTACACCCTAAACCCCCAAAACCTAAACCCTATAAGACCTTCAACCCCTAAAAAGCCCTGAAGAGCTCCTGCAGCTTAAATGTCGAGCAAAAGGGCGCGTGCGCGTGCGCGCGGTGGGCTCACGGCTCCCGCCTGTGTTCACGGAAGCATCTTTGCATCAATGATGCCGGACGAGATCTGGAGACTTGGTAGTCTTTTTGGGGCTGTGCCCCCTGGCAAACGCTCCCGATGAGATGCGCCATCTGCTCTAACCATACATTATATACACATGTATGTGTATATACATATATATATATATGGTCACCCCCCCCCCCATGATCTAGGTTTTGCTTTGTCTCTATAAAAACCCTCGTAAATACCGATTAAAATGACATGCTGGCTATGCTAGGCGATGTCCTGTTTTTGCACGTCTAGTCCTATGCGAGAAAACCTGTAAATAGTGAAAAACGCGTGTGTTTAGCACTACTTCCACATCACCACATAAAAAAACACCCCAAAAACACAGGAAAATGCAATTTGGTAAACATGTCTATGAATTATTTGCATAGGACAGGCTTATAAACACAGAATTGTATGCAAAAAACACTTCTTTTTTGCAGAATTTGCAAATTTTGACACAAATCCAAAAATCCAAAAATCCAAAAATTCAAAACCATGGAGCCGGGAGGCCGCCTTTTTTGGATTTTTTGGTTTTCTCGAGGTTTTTTTGGTTTTTTTTGGAAAAATCCAAAAAAAACCATGGTTTTTTTGGATTTTACTTGCTCCTGGCCTCAAAAACCTAAAAAACACATGGTTTTTTTTGGATTTTGAGTGAAAATCCAAAAAAACCCTCGTGTTTTTTTAGTTTCTGAGACCAGGAGCACCTGAAATCCAAAAAAACACGAGGGTTTTTTTGGATTTTCACTCAAAATCCAAAAAAAACCCATGTGTTTTTTAGGTTTTTGAGGCCAGGAGCAAGTAAAATCCAAAAAAAACCATGGTTTTTTTCGGATTTTTCCAAAAAAAACCAAAAAAAACTCGAGAAAACCAAAAAATCCAAAAAAGGCGGCCTCCCGGCTCCATGGTTTTGAATTTTTGGATTTTTGGATTTTTGGATTTTTGGGTTTTTTTTAAGCAAATTTTGCAAAAAATACTTTTCTTGTATAAAGAATGTGTATTGTTATACGTTGTTTCTGCTAATGTGACTGCCTTGCACACACACAGAGAAAAGCACACAAACACACCCACCATTCGTTTTTTTTCAATTCAGCCTATTCGGTATGCAGGGCGTGGCGTTAACATGTAAAGTTCCATTAGATTTAATTACGAATGAGGCTTAAAAGAGGATGTCTTGGGATGTGGCGTCTTAATATGAAAAGTAATAAAAAAAAGAAATAGAGAGGGTTTCTTAGGGTGTGGTTCTTTTGAGGATGTGGACCTGCAATTCAAAAGTCTAATTGGACTTAAAAAAGAGTGGGGCTTCGAAGAGGATGTCTTGGGGTGTGGCCTCTTAATTTAAACGTCTATTTAAGTGGAATCACAAAGGAAGTCCAGTTGAGGATTTCTTAGGGTGTGGTGTTTTAGTGCAAACCTCAAATTACATTTCATTACGAAGCGGGGCCAGAGGAGACTTTCACAGGGTGTGGTCGGTAAAATGAAATTCCAAAGAGGTAGTAACGAATGAGGCTTAGAAGGGCGTGGCCTCTTAATTGTTTTACTTGGTTTGGTTTTACGAACGAAGCTGTGGCTTTACCATACACAGGTCTTAGGGTGTGGCCTTTTAAATTCTGTCCAAAGGGGTGTGGCCTCTAAACTTAAAATTCAATTTAAGTGGAATTCCAAACGAGTCCAGATGAGGATTTCTTAGGGTGTGGCGTTTTAATACAAACCTCAAATAACATTGTAGTATGAAGCGAGGCCAGGGGAGAATTTCATAGGGTGTGGTCTGCAAAATAGAATTCCAAATAGGTATTAACCAATGAAGCTTAGAAGAGGATGTCTTGTGGCGGGGCCTCTTAATTTGTTTGTTTGACTTGGGTTTAATTTACTAACGAAGCTATGGCTTTATCATATACAAGTCTATTGACATTTCACTAATAGGCACCAGAAGAGGATTTCATAGGGCCTAGCGGTTAAATATGGAATTGTAAGTACATTCAAATACAAATGGGGGCTCATGATATAAATTTCTGTCCAAGAGTTACATACGAACCTAGCCTAGGTCACAACTTCTTAGGGTGTGGGCTTCTTACCTAGAATTGTAAACTTCTTACGAGATTCTGTTACGAACAGGCCCCAGAATGGTGTGGCTTTTTTTAATACAAGCATCTTGGCAAATCGAAAATAAGTCTAATTACAAACGAAGGTCTAATGAGGATTTCTTGGCGTGTGGCTTTGTAATACAGAATTCTAATTAATCTTCATTACAAATAGGGGCCAGAAAGGGATTTCATAGGGTATGGTCTGCAATATAGAATTCTAACTCGGTTTCATTGCGAGGAGGAGGTCCTGGGGTTGGCCTCTGAATATACACTTGCTTTACTTGGGTTCAATTACGAACGAAGCCCAGAAGAGGATTTCTTAGGGTGTGGGCTTACAATATGAAATCAAATTGCGTTTCATTACGAATGGGGCCAGCGAAAGATTTCACAAGGTGTGGGAAAAACAAAAATGTTCTAAATAGGTATTAATCAATGAGGCTTAGAAGAGGATGTCTTGGGGCTGGGCCTCTTAATATTTTTTTACTTGGGTTAATTACGAACGAAGCTGTGGCTTTATCAGACACAAGTCTACTGAAATTTCATTAAGAGGGCCCAGAAGAGGATTTCATAGGGTGTGGCCTTTAAGTATAGAATTCTTTTCGTAGGGTGTGGGCTTCTTATGTAGAAGCATTTTCTCAATAAAATAGGAAGGAAGCCCAGATGAGGATTTCTGAGGCTGTAACCTCTGCATATAAAGCTCTTGTGAGATTTTGTTACGGACAGGCAGGCCCCAGAAGAGGATTTCATAGGGTGCGGCTTTTAATTGGCAAATTTAGATTTCTAAAAAAAGTTTTACTACGAATGAGGCCAGTGGCCTTTTAATTTTCATTCCGACTTAGGTTTAAATCTCGCTTCGATGGGCCCGAAAGGCCTTTCGACCTAGATCATGGGGGGGGGGGTGAGCATATATATATATAGATATGTCTACATCTACACATATATATATATATATATATATAGAGGTTCATTATTTGGGGGTCGATATTGGGGGTCCCTTAGTTTTGTAAACTCCCATGAAAAAACCCTAAACCATGGTAATCCCTTAGCGGAAAGACCGGAGCAGAGACTTGGGGCACCTGTGTCCAGTGGCCCTGGCACAAGATTTAGGGGCTTAAGGCTGAGAGAGAGGGTTTAGGGTTTAGGGTTTAGGGTTTAGGGTTTAGGGTTTAGGGTTTAGGGTTTAGGGTCTAAAGCTTGCGTGACTGTAGGGTTTAGGGCCCAGGTTGCTCGACATCTTCTCATTCCGAACAACCCTGAGTTGCAATCTCAGGCATCGTGCTGATCCCGGTCATTGGGCTCGTGGCCACCCGACCACAGGCCTGGGGGCATGTGCGAGCGCCTGACCTGGGACAATGCGGCTTAGGGTTTAGGGTTTCGGGTTTAAAGGTTTAAAGGTTTAAAGGTTTAAAGGTTTAAAAGGTTTAAAAGGTTTAAAGGTTTAAAGGTTTAAAGGCTTAAAGGCTTAAAGGTTTAAAGGTTTAGAGGTTTAAATGTTTAAAGGTTTGAAGGTTTAAAGGTTTAAAGATTTAGGCTTTAGGGTTAGGGTTTAGGGTTTAGGGTTTAGGGTTCAGGGTTTAGGGTTTAGGGTCTAGGGTTGAGGGGTTAGGGTTTAGGGTTTAGGGTTGTACAGGCGCTCGCTTGAAGGCTCAGGGCAAGTCACGCAGTTAGGGCTCATTTGGATTCGGGGAATGGGTATGGGTAGAAACATGTCCCTAATTGGGGTTAAGGCTTGCACATGGGGTTTAGGTTACAAAATCCCTGTGTTTGTATGTTCCTGTTGGGCATGTACTTTCACAGTGTTGCCCTGGTAGGGCCTTGGGGTATTTGTTCTATTCCGTTTCGTGGGTGTGAGAGTATCTTGCTGAGGGACTTAAAGCCAACCGAGTTGCTGCCAACACCATGGGTCTCGGGATTCGATTAAAGCCTCCCACCCCACGGTTCCCTATCGAGCCCTAAAGGGAAAAGGGGTTCCAGGGACGTACGTAACCCATTGCTCCCTAACACCTAAGCTTCCCTCAGGTTCCTTGAGGTTCCCTACCCCATGAACCGCCCCCTTCCCTGAGGGACACTACTATAAGCCCTAAACCCTAAACCCTAAACCCTAAACCCTAAACCCTAAACCCTAAACCCTAAGCCCTAAGCCCTAAGCCCTAAGCCCTAAGCCCTAAGCCCTAAGCCCTAAGCCCTAAGCCCTAAGCCCCTAAGCCCTAAGCCCTAAAGCCCTAAACCCTAAACCCTAAACCCTAAACCCTAAACCCTAAACCCTAAACCCTAAACCCTAAACCCTAAACCCTAAACCCTAAACCCTACCCCCAGATGTCGCTCGTTCCCCAAGCCACCAAACGCTGCGCGAAAGGATGTGCCGTGGGCTGAAAGGTTCGGAGCCCCAGAGCAATTGGGGGGCAGGGCTTATTTTGCTGAAAAGGGCTTAGATATTCTAAGAAGAATTCAACATACCCCCAAATTTCTTAGACATGCAGTAGGGTGCAGAGATGTTTAGAGGACACTTTAGGGCTTTAAAGAGCTTGCAGTGAGAGTGCGAAGCACCATGATGCAATTCCCTTTTTGGGTAGTGTGTGTGTGTGTCTATTTTTTTGAGGGGGGGGAGGGGGGAAGGGGGCGCATCCCTAGAGTCAGAGGTTGGCCTTCAGGGTTGAGGGCTTAGGACATGAGGCCCGAAGCCCCTGGACCCTATAGCCCATTCCCCTGGAAAGCTCATGGTTTAGGGTTTAGGGTTTAGGGTGCAAAGGCCGGAGAGCTATGCCACCTGCCCGGCGCACCTTGGCGATTCGGGAGTGAAAGGGATTGCGAGCTTCAGAATCCGAACTTAGGATTGCGAGCTTCAGGATCCGGGCTTCTGGGTTTTGGTTTAGGGTTTGAGGGTTTAGGGTTCGTTTTGGTTTAGGGTTTGAGGGTTTAGGGTTCAGGGTTTAGGGTTAGAAGGTGAAGGGTTCCTAAGCCCCCAGCCCTAAACCCCTCAACACAACACCAACGGCTTTGCCGTGACCCATTTGTTTGGACAAAGCGTGCAGCGTCCCACCCGCACCTCAGCTCAGAAACCCTAAGCCCTAAACCCTAAACCCTAAACCCTAAACCCTAAACCCCTAAACCCCTAAACCCCTAAACCCCTAAACCCCTAAACCCCTAAACCCCTAACCCTAAACCCTAAACCCTGAACCCTAAACCGCGTTGGTGATGGGTTTCGGGCTTAGCGGATGGCCGAGCTTCCATGAGCCTGAGCCTTCTAGGCCACGGGGTCGTAAAGGCCCTCGGTGGCCGGATGACGTCCTCGCCCTAAGCCCTCAACTCTTTCCAGGCACCCTAAACCCTAAACCCTAAACCCTAAACCCTAAACCCTGAACCCTGAACCCTGAACCCTAAACTGGCTCCCCTGACTAAGGGAGTCCGTCTGCTGGGACCTGAGTGGCTGCCTCAGAGCCTGTTGGGGGTTTGGGGGGTTTGGGGGGTTTGGGGGGTTTGGGGGGTTTGGGGGGTTTGGGGGGGGTTTAGGGTTTAGGGGGGTTTTGGGGGGTTTGGGGGGTTTGGGGTTTGGGGGGTTTGGGGGGGGTTTAGGGTTTAGGGGGGTTTTGGGTTGAGGGTCTAGGGTGTCGGTGCTGGAGGGTGTTAGGTTTAGGGTTCAGGCTGCAGCATAGGGTCCGCCTCGTCACGGATCGATCCTTCAAAATTTCGCGGCGAGGCGGTAATGGCGAACCTAAACCCTAAACTGCCCTAAACCCTAAGCCCTAAAACCTAAACCTTAAAAATAAACCCTAAACCCTAAACCCTGCAGGCTGCAGCCTGGGACCCTAAACCCCTAACCTAACGAGTCCGCGCGACGCGTGTCCGCAATCTAGTTCCATTGATGTTTGGGGGTCCGAGGTCGCGATGCTGCACCTCTCTCACCCGGAGGTTTGAGGAGTTTTGGTAAGGTGTAGGGTTTGGGGTTTAGGGTTTGGGGTTGAGCGTGTAGAGTTTGGGTTTTGGGTAAAAACCTGTGGGAGAAAGTTCCGAAGCCGAAAAGCCGTTCCTGACCCCGTGGACATCACGATTCGGAAGTCTGCAACGGTTGCAGGCTTGAGGGAGGATATCGCCACAAACCACCCGGCCCACAATCGCATCACCTTGAAGACCAAGAAGGAGGAGATTTGTAAGAACTTCATAATGGTTTCGGGCGAGAAGGTGTTCACGAAGGACCACCCCCAACTCTTGGGGGGCGACACGCACAAGATGGCTGGAGGTGAGACTCTCCGTGGTACAAGGTCTTGAATGCTGAGCAGTGATGTGCTTAAAGCATTGATCGCCCTAGTGTCCTGCGATCGTTTCAAACTCAGAAACCTTGGCCCTGCAAAGGAGCAACACAACTATTGAACGTTTTGAGTTGCAGTTGAGCCTGAGGATGCAAGTGGAAGACTTTGAGAGCCTTGCAGACGTGATTTGATGTCGCTTGACTCTTAAGGCTTAGGGTTTAGGGTTTCATGTTTAGGATTTAGGATTTAGGGTTTAGGGTTCGGGTTTAGGGAGATGATGGCGTCCACTTCAGCCACACTGCCTGGCAAGACCAAGCCGAAGAAATCGCACTACGCACTCAGATGCCAACGCAAGATTTGGGAGCTTGAGCAACCAATCGAAAGGCGAGAGCCTCAACCTGTTTCCGAGCCTAAACCCTACAAACCTGAAACCGCAAACCATACAAACCACAAACCCCCAAACCCTAAACCCCAAACCCTAAACCCTAAGCCCTAGCCCTAAACCCTAAACCCCATAAAGCCTATAAACTCAGGCTCTTGGGCTTCTGAAGCCCGAAACCCTACGCTCCTGAGCCCCATAGGTGCCGGGACATGCAGCAATCCTGACTGCCAATGCGAGTGCAGGGCCCCAGCCATACGGATAAGGTTGAGGGTTTAGGGTTTAGGGTTTCGGGTTTAGGGTTCAGGGTTTGGGGTTTAGGGTTTACTCTAAGTTCTCCCTGAGCCCTAAACCCACTCCTTGAGCTCCTTCAGCATATTCCCCATCGTTAAGGGTAGCAACAAAGGGTCAATCATGTAGATGAGGGACAATACTTGCAGCTAGCTTCCTAGAGGTTCCGTTCAGGGTTTAGGGTAGATCCTACCAGCACTCAGCCCTGAAACCTTCAGTTTGGACTACTGTGGTAAGGGTTGGGGGTTTAGGGTTTAGCGGTTGTGGGGTTTCTTGGGATTTGGAAATAGAAATCTTTTCTGGAGGATAGGCTTTTCTAGATCTACCGGATGAGAGCTTTCATAAACCCCAAGCCCAAAACCCTAAACCCACAATCAGACACCCCGGGCCCTAAACCCCAACCCAAAACCCTAAATGACCCCAGCTTCAGCAATCTTGGGCCCCTGATCCTGAACTCAGGTTTCTGGAGTTGAAGGTAGAGTGTTTAGAGGATTTGCGGCTACGGGTATAGGGATTAGGGGTCTAGGGAGGGAGGGGGCTGCATAATGTGCGACCCCTGAGAAGACCCACCAGGAGAAGACATGGGTTTAGGGCTTAGGGCTTAGGGCTTAGGGCTTTACGGCTTAGGGCTTCGGGCTTAGGGCTTAGGGCTTATGGTTCATGGTTCATGGCTCATGGTTCATGGTTCATGGTTCAGGTTTAGGGTTTAGGGTCCCAAGCCCCGTCAGACCGAAGAGCCCGAGCCCAAAGGAAGGCTTGGAATCTATGCCGGGATCATTTTGCCTCGAGGCAAAGCTGAAGCAACCCCAACTTCGCCCCCTCAGCCCCCCAAAACCCCATTCTCTCTAAACCCTATAGCCTATAGCCTAAAGCCTAAACCCGAAACCCGAAACCCGAAACCCTAAACCCTAAACCCTAAACCCTAAACCCTAAACCCGCGCAGTACAAGCAATTTGGTGGTTGGCGCAATCTACCCGACCCCCCCTCGAGGGAAATGTCGTTGGTTGACGCGCAGATCGCGTCCGCATGCACGGTGAAGATGAAGGTTCTCGCGCTGTCGGGTGATGTTGTGTCTGAAGCGGCTGGCCTCAGCCCTAAACCCTATATCCGAAGGCCTGACTAATGTGGGATGTTCCCCCTTATGCTACCGTCCTGAATGGGGATAATCATTGGGGGGGGGTGGGGGGGGGTACTATACTCCTGATCCCTAACTCCTCAGCCCCAAGCCACCGAAACCTCACAGACTTGCAGACCTAAACTCTGGGTGACTCTAGGTTTAGGGTTCAGGGCTCAGGGTTCACTCTTTAGGCTTTGCAGGGTTGTCTAGTTAGAGACCTACTTCCCATGTGATTCTTCGAGCCATTCGCTTAGGCCTTGCAGCGCCCCCAAGCCAAGGTGGTGGTCGGAAAAAGCATGCACGAGGCTGACAAGTCCCGTCCTGCTGTGGGCAAGCTGTGGATGAAATACAGCAACTTCATGCATCGGATCCACAGCTGTGTGCACGAAGCCACTGGTGTCTCGCGCTTCCGTCAACAGCTGTTCTCAGAGGGGCAAGAGCTTAGCTGGAACTCTACATGGTCTGGCCTGGGAGAGCCAGATCACATCCATGTCGTGTTTCGAGACCATGTCAAGGACAAGGGCGCCACACTTCGTGGACACGCCAACGCCGGCAGGTACTTTGCTGCGCGAGATGTCTTGTTTGAAAGACAGGATCCTGACGACCAGTCACGCCATGGCCACACTGCGCTGTACCTGGCGAGCAAGGCAGGACATCACGATATTGTGAACTTGTTGCTGATTGCACGTGCCAGTGTGTCATTAGCATCGAACACTGGTAGCACACCTTTGCTGGCAGCTTTTGTTCGCGACCACAAAGACATCGTGCAGAGTTTGCACTTGGCCCGCGCAGATGCTGGCAGCTTTGGAACTCATCTGACAAACGATGGTCGCGATCTCAACCAATGGCTTTCGGATGACGAGACCTTCCTTTGGCGAGCAGTTCGGGCGGGTATGCCGCAGGCTGTGCAAAGTCTCTTAACGGCAGCTGCTGATGCAAATGTGGCCTTGCTGGATGGCTATACTCCATTGCATCTAGCTGCGCAAATGGGCGCTACAGATATGGTGCGGGCGCTGTTGGAAGCACGCGCTGACAAAGACCGACAGGCAGACAATGGGCGAACACCCATCTTCATGGCTTCGATTTGGAGTCAGTGCAGCGTCGTCGAGCAATTGTTGGAATCCGGCGCCAGTGCCAATCGCACGGACCAGTATGGGTGTCCCGCTGTTGTGGAAGCTGCTGAGCAGAATGAGCCAAAAGTTGTGCAGTCTTTGTTGCGCGGCAGGGCTGATGTGGCGCAGTGGGGCGGCAGTTTGTTGATGTGCGCGGTACGGACGCAGAGCTGCGACGCGGAGCTGCATTTGGCCAGTTTATAGGGGCTTGAAGTAGGAGGGCTTGGGGCCTTGCGGTTCAGACCCATGGAAGCTTTTGTCGGGCATACGAAACTTCGTTTCTGTGGCTCTTGGGGTGTAGGGTTCCGGGAAGAGCTCGTCGGGTGAGGAAAAACCTTCGTCTCCAAATCCTAAACCCTAAACCCCTAAACCCCTAAACCCCTAAACCCCTAAACCCCTAAACCCCTAAACCCCTAACCCCCTAAACCCCTAAACCCCTAAACCCCTAAACCCCTAAACCCTAAACCCTAAACGCCTCAACCCCTGAACCTCAAAATGCCTCAGGAGCTGCTCCACGACTTGCTAGCAGCTCACATCGACGCCGGCCAAGCCGATCCCAAGGGAAGCTCGGTTCTTGTCAGCTAATTACCTAGGTAGGTCCTTGGGTTTAAGAGGGTCATATTCAGGCATATTTTTCAGAGGGGTTTAAGGGCCATCCTAGTTACGGGTTGCTTAAGAACCCCGAAAAAGGAAAAGATATTATTCCTTAGTAAGGGCAATATAGGGATTGTTATGCTTTTTTCTTTTGGGGGTTCCTAAGCAAATGGTAGTCAAGGAACTTAAGACTTTTTTTGGACCGGCGTAGGAACCTCACCTAAGTTGCCAAATTCTGATTTGAAACCCTAAGCCCAAAAACCCTGGACTTATTACGAGAACTAGGAGGGTACCTTGTGCGTTCGACTCTATAGGCCCTTTTCTGGTCTAGGGCGTAGAGAAGAGGATTTTGAGTTTGAAGTTTGGGGTTTAAGGCTTACCCTCAACCCTAAACCCTAAACCCTAAACCCTAAACCCTAAACCCTAAACCCTAAACCCTAAACCCTAAACCCTAAACCCTAAGCAAATAAACGAATCCAGGGAGGCTGTCCCTGGTCGCCGCAGCACGTCGGGGTGCCTCCTGCTTAGCAGCTTGGAATGGGTGTCGGGTTTCGGAGAATTGGAGTTTAGAGTTTATAGGCTTTAGGGGTTTTGGGTTTAGGGTTGTTTAGAGTTTAGGCTTTAGGGGTTTTGGGTTTAGAGTTTATAGGGTTTTGAGTTTATAGGCTCTAGGGGTTTTGGGCTTAGATTCTCACGGTCAAGGATGTGGGGTTTGTTGAACAGTAGGGGTCAAGCAGAACTGGGACGCCTTCGCGCCGGCCTCCGGGGAGTTGACATCCCCGAAGGAGCGGGCCGCCTTAAACTCTGTAGCCCTCTTCCTAAACCCTGAACCCTAAACCCTAAACCCTAAACCCTAAACCCTAAACCCTAAACCCTAAACGCTTGTGCGTGTTTAGGCCTCTACTTCCCTAATATAAAGGGACCCCTAATGTCACGAATGCCAGTAACCTACCATATCTCCCAGCCTGGTGTCAGACAGGACTATAAGCCCCAAACCCTATAGACCCTGTAGTGCAGTGTGAGATTGCTTCCGGGATTTCGGCCACAGGCATGCTAACTTCTGAGACTGAGGTTGCGCTGCTGCTGGAAGCTGCTGCAGATCCCGGCCAAGAGGATGGATTCGGGATGACGGCGCGGGCGACCGCTGTGGAGATGGGCCACGCAGATGTAGTAAGCCGGCTAGATTTCTGCACGCTGCCAAATTCCGGCAGGTGCTAGGCCTTCTAAGCTTCCTGAGGCTCCCTTTGTACCAGAGAGCATGCGCAGGCTCTTGCAGTTCGGGTACTCGAAAAGGGTTTATAACTTGCAGATCCATTGCGGCACCCGTAGGGGGCCATGCATGATTCCTCGCTGTTCGTGGTCACTCGACCGACATGTGTCCACAAGGGATCGTTCCGCTCGAATTTGCCCAAAATGCCTTGTGACGCAAAGGGACCTTGCGCTTGGCTGACGAACTGAGGCGGATTTCGGGATTCGTCCACCCTCATGACACTATAGGGAGTTCTGTAATTACTTTGTTGTATTCCCCCCCCATTACCCTATAGAAGCCTGTAAGGGGGGGAATCTACTTGCCCTGAGGGTTGTTAACCCACCCCCCCTTTGCCCGGGGGCTCGGTGCCATAAAAGCTTGAACTTTACGCCACATGTTTCGGGTTTACCTGCGCCCCCCAGTACACCGGAATAAGGGCCTGGGTGTAGGTAGGGCTTCTTGACGGGACACGGGTTCGAGGTTTGTTAGGACACCGGGTTTGCTCTTGTCCATTGATCCAGAAGATCCTGAACCCCAAGCCCCCCCCCAAGCCCCCCAAAGCTCCACTCGCCCAAGCAAGCATCCTCCGCACACCCTAAACTCGAAACCCTAAACCCTCAACCCTCAACCCTCAACCCTAAGCCCCCAAAAACGCAAAACCCTTTAACCTTAAGCCCCACACCCTACATCCAGGTGCACCTCGGGGCTCTTTGCAGGTCAGTGGCCCAAGGGTTCATGTAGGGTTGAGGGTTGAGGGTTTAGGGTTTAGGGTTTGTGTAGGGTTGAGGGTTTAGGGTTTTCAACCTAAACAGCCCTAAAAATCAAGCCTCCCAGCTTAACATAACATTTATGGTTTAGAGGTTCTGTCTGCCAAAGATGCGCCGAAGGTTTGAGGTTTAGGGTCTTTTTTCAGGGTGTTAAGTCTAGCGTTCAGGCTTTAAGGGTTTTAGTCTTGAGTTTAGAATGTTGTTTCATGATATGGGGTTTAGGTGTAAGTTCTTGTTCAAGGTCTAGGCTTGGGGGTTAGTTTTTTTGTTTCAGGGCTTTCGGCTTTCGGGTTCAGATGGTATCATGTTCGTTTTAGTAACAGGGTTTCAGGTTAACAGTTTTGTCCTCAACGTTAATCAAGGGCTGTAGTGTTTTTTCCAGGGCAGTCGCTGGGTTTAGTTTGTGGATTTCGCCAGGGTTTAGGGCTTCAAACCGGGGTCCAGGGCTTGAGGGTTCTCTAGTTTGGGGCTCGAGGGCTCACAGCGGGTGCATTTCTTGTGTTTTTGGTTCGAGGTCTGAAGTCTAAGAGAGATCAGGAGCCTGAATCAGGAGCCGCTTTTTTTCAGATGAAGGGCTCGGGGTTTCGGGCTTGAGGTTCAGGACTTCGGTCTTAAGGCTTGGGCGTGCACACGTTTTTTTGGGCTTCGGATGTTCCCTGTCAGCCCTGCGCCCCAGAGCCCCCGAAGCTTCAACCTAAGCCCTGAACTCTAAGCTACTCTACCATTTGCTCAAGCAACCTAAAGCAACCATAAGCGAACAGTCCCCATGTTGCCCTTATAAGTACGACATTTTTTGTTTTAAGGGGGGGGGTTCTTAAGCACGTAGTAGTGTTCCCTTCAACCTAACCATCCTACACCGACATTGGGGGGGGGGGGGGGGGCTTAGTGGGCTTAGGGGACTTAGGGGGCTAAGGGGGCTTAGGGGGCTTCGCGGGCTTAGGGAGCAGGGGCCAAGGGGGCTTAGGGGGCTTAGAGTAGTGGGCTTAGGGGGCTTAGGGACTCGGCTGAGGTTGGAACACGTGGCTTCTGTTCTTGGCCGTCTTCGTGAACACCACGCAAGGCCAGCGCGTGACCCCTCAGCCTTCAAACGGAGGGAGCCCGACGCCTCCCCAGTGAAGGGCGAATTCAGAAGAATACGGTGTAGGGTTTAGGGGTTAGGGTTTAGGGTTTAGGGTTTAGGGTTTAGGTTTAGGGTTCAGGGCTTAGGGTTTAGGGTTTAGGGTCTTCCCTTATGATGGTCCCTATTCAAAAAGGCCACAATTGGCCCCAAAGGCCTGTTCTAATTGTGAAGGATGCTATAGCAGTGGAGCTTTCTAAGGTGCACTACTTCACGAAGCACATTGCGTGTTCTGGGGAGTAGAACAAAGGCACCCCTCATTGCAGAACAAGGACCACATAGTTTAAGGCAGCCTACACCCGAAACCCTAAACCCTAAACCCTAAACCCTAAACCCTAAACCCTAAACCCTAAACCCTAAACCCTAAACCCTAAACCCTAAACCCTAAACCCTAAACCCTAAACCCTAAACCCTAAACCCTAACCCCTAACCCCTAAGCCCTAAGCCCTAAGCCCTAAGCCCTAAACCCGAAACCCTAAACCCTAAGCCCTAAACCCTAGGTACACCAGGCGTAGCCCACGGCATGCCTTGGATCCAGGCTGGCTGGTGGGCAAGGTCACTCATGCCTTCTCCGTGGTGCATCGAGCGATAGCTGCTTCCTGACTGAGCGGTTTAGGTTTTGGAGGGTTTTTTTGGGCCCTAAACCCTAAACCCTCAACCCTCAACCCTAAACCCTAACCCCTAAACGTTTGGGTTTTTCAGGGTTCAGGATCCGATGCAAGCTCAGTAGGAAGTAGAACATCGCAGAACTGACTGTGGGCTTGCCAATCTCTGTGTACCCTCAACTGCCTTCTGACAAAGTGTGCGTTCATACGTCACCGCAAACCCTAAACCCTAAACCCTAAACCCTGAACCCTAAACCCTAAACCCTAAACCCTAAACCCTAAACCCTAAACCCTAAACCGCCATGTGTTTCTGACCATCCTTTCCAATGATCCTCAGAACCCTTGGGGTTTGGGCCCTTTCAAGGACATCCTAGGAGCTGTGGGTCTGGGGGTAAGGGTTTAGGGGTTTAGGGGTTTAGGGTTTAGGGTTTAGGGTTTAGGGTTTAGGGTTTAGGGTTTAGGGTTTAGGGTTTAGGGGTTTTAGGGCTGTTCTCATAGGGCCCGCGGGCGTTTTGAGTTCCAGGCGCCGAAGAAGCAGTGACCCCCAAAAAGCAATCCTTGGGGACCAAAATGAACCCTAGAGATTGGGTTTAGGGTTTAGGGCTTAGGGTTATTGACGATCAATCAGGGTTTAGGGTTTAGGGTTTAGGGTTTAGGGTTATGCCCTACTATACTTACTACTACTAAAGGGCCATATACCCTACTCTACTTGCTACTACTGCAATTCCCCTTTAGGGACGATTATGAACCATGTAACCCTTTGAGGGTTCATTGGGCCCCCAAGGATGCGAGTTTGGGGGTCTGAGGGTCGCTTCGAGCTTGTGGGCGCCTGATTGGTGCCCTGAACTTTTTGGGGTTTAGGGGTTTAGGGGTTTAGGGTTTAGGGTTTAGGGTTTAGGGTTTAGGGTTTAGGGGTTTAGGGGTTTAGGATCTCCTAGGATATCCCGTCATGGCCACCCCCAAGGCACCGTGCCCATTCGTTAAGAGACCCCAAGCAAGATTGAAGCTACATGGAGGTTCATGGTACTTATCTGTACTTCTAACCCAATTTTTTGCCCCTTAAGTGCTCTAATTTGGTTACTACTTGGGTTGTAAGTATAGCTATCATTGGTTAGTACGTCCCATGACCCTAAACCCTAAACCCTAAACCCTAAACCCTAAACCCTAAACCCTAAACCCGCCCTTGAAGCTGAGATTCCCGCAATCAGGATGCGCCCAAGTACCCCGAAAGCCACTGCCCAGGACTCCTTCAGCCTTTTGGCGATCTACTTCATAGGTGCGGTGGTTTAGGGTTTGGGGTTTGGGGTTTGGGGTCTGGGGTTTGGGGGAAAAAAAGTCGGGGGGGGGGGGGGGGGGGTGGAGGGGAAGAGGTGTAAGTGGGGGGGGGGGGGGGGGGGGGGGGGGGGGGGCGGGCGTGTGCAAGGGCTCATATTTCTAAGGATTGAAGCCACAAGCCTCAATAAGGCAAGAAGGTATCACCCCGAGCCCCAAAAACCTCCCTTGCACCCTTCCCGCCTTCAAAACTTGTCCTTGTGAGATAAAAGGAAGCGGGCTCGGTAGAGCTTAGGGCGATTCGAGTTGGGACCTGAACCTGAACATGAGAGCCCTAAAACATACGAAAGCTTAGCCCCCTTGAATGGGTGATAGATTCTGTTGCTCTCTGAGCTCATCTTACCCCAAACTCCTAGCCTAACCTCCTAAACCCGAAAGCCCTAAAGTTTACTAAACCCTAAACCCTAACGCTGGCTTTAGGGCTTTATGGCCTCTATGAGTTTTGCGATTTGAAAAGTTTTAGCTGCTGAGGGATCAGGATGTTCCAGCGATGATCTCATGGTAGGGTCAAGGGTTTAGGGTTTGGGGTTTGGGGTTTAGGGGTTTAGGGCTTGGGGTTTAGGGTTTAGGGTTTGGGGTTTAGGGTTTAGGGCTGCAAGGCACCCATAACCCTACCTGGACCCTGCACCTGCAGGCGACCCCCTGTTCAACGGCAAGAGCCTCGAAAACAGCTGCCTGAACCTGGTACCTCGGCCCAACCACTGATGGGCTTTGGGTTTTTTTTTTTTTTTATGGTTAGCCCTAAACCCTAAACCCTAAACCCTAAACCCCAAACCCCAAACCCCAAACCCTAAACCCTAAACCCTTATCTTGGCTTGGGGAATGCGGTTTGGGGTTTATGTTGGCTTCGGGGTTTGGGATCTGGGGGTTTATCGCGGGCTTGGCGCTTGATACCCTGAAGCCCGAAACCTCTGACAGTCGCACAACCGACAAGAAGCTTCGGCGGGTATGTTAACCCTAAACCCTAAACCCTAAACCCTAAACCCTAAACCCTAAACCCTAAACCCTAAACCCTAAACCCTAAACCCTAAGCCCTAAGCCCTAAGCCCTAAGCCCTAAGCCCTAAGCCCTAAGCCCTAAGCCCTAAGCCCTAAGCCCTAAGCCTAAGCCCTAAGCCCTAAGCCCTAAGCCCTAAGTGTAGAGGGGGT